TTGGTGAGGCATATAGACTTTCAATCAATGAGCATAATATCAAGGTTGAAAAGAACCGTGAAATTTTGTCCAAAATAATAGACTGCATTTTCTTTTGTGGAAACTTTGAAACTCCCTTACGTGGACATGATGAAAAAGAAGATTCAATAAATCCAGGGGTATTTAGAGGATTAGTAAATTTTGCATCTAATTAGATTCAGATTTGAAGCATCACTTAGAAACCAGTGCAGTCTTCACAGGTGTTTCTAAGACCATTCAGAATGAGATACTTGACTGCCTGCTACAAATATACCATGAGGAGATAAGGACGGAAATTAGGAAGTCTTCCTTTGTAGCTGTCATGGCTGATGACACAACAGAAGTTTCGGAACACACTCAAGTCTCAAATGGTCCTTGTTCTACGGTACATATTGAATGGAGAAATATTTGAGGGTTTTGGGTGATTCTTTATTCCAGAAAATCAAACCGCAGATGGCATATCGAAACGTATTTTAGAACAATTGGACATAATCCTTCAAGGAAATGGACAAAAACTGATTGCTCAGACATCTGATGGTACAAATGTGATGAAAGGCAAAAAAGCAGGAGTTCAAGCAAAAATAAAAGCAGTTTATAGTGATGCACATTTCATTCACTGTTATGCACATCAACTTAATTTAATAATGAGAAATGTAGCAAGTATTACACAAAACGCAAGAATATTTTTCTCTAACATTCTGGCTATTCCAACATTCTTCTCAAGATCACCGCAACGTGAGTCCATTCTCAAGAAGCATATGGAAGTCAGCATTCCACGTCCATCTTCTAGAAGGTGGAACTTCAACATACGGACCATGAACAGAGTTCATGAAAATTTGCAACCTTTAATAAACTGCCTTACTGAAATTCAGTCAACATCAAATGCAGATCAAACCACTGCAGAAGCAACAGGAATTTTAAAATACCTAAATGATGATAATTTCAAGTTTTGGTTAGAGCTTTTTCATCAGATTATGCCTCATGTTGAAATAATTTACAACCAAATGCAATCTCGAGAAATTGGTGTGTTTAAAGTTAATCAATATATAACAAATTTCAAAACTGCTAATTTACAATTGAGAAACTCAAAGTACTGTGAGAATCCTTCAAAGACACTCATGGCAGAAGCTAAGGAAGTGTGTGACTGTATATGTGTTGATATAGTGGACAGATATTCTTCCACTAAACAGTTAGTATCTGCTAAATTGTTCAACAAGAAATGCTTCACTAGTTTTAAGAATGAATATCCCACAAGAGATAGTACTGACCACTGAAGCATATCCCATGATTGACAAAGAAAGCTTGAAACTGAACTAAAAGTATTCTATTGTAGGTCTGATATTCATGAATATTGCACATTAATTGAGCTGCTGAAATTTATCTTGGAAAATAATCTAGATGTTTTAGTGAAATTACGAAACTGATAAAAATCCTCGACAGTTCCCATGACTACATCAGAGGCAGAGCACTGCTTTTCAACACTGAAAAGAATAAAAACTTTTCTAAGAAGCACCATGAATTCGGAAAGACTATATGCGCTTGCATGCTTTCAATGGAGAAAAATTTCCACATTTGTCATCCAGAGATCAAGGAGAAAATCATTGATCTTTTCGCGCAAACTAAAACAAGAATGGATTTCATTTTTAAATGAATAGATTAAGCTTGAACTGTAACAATTTAGGTTAAAGTAAGTAAAAAATGTTTGATTTTGTTCTTTTAGGATTTTATCAAGTTTCTGAATAAATTTTCTTTTTATACGTGTTTGTTTCCTTTTATACAATTTCAAAACAAAGGCTACAAATTTTCTGGAGCAGCACCCCCACTAATTTTAGCTATGAGCTGCCACTGCTGCTGACACTGTCAAGGATCTCCTTCGCCTCTGGCGATGGGAGATACTGCAACATCCGCCATACTCACCCAATATGAGTCCGTGCGATTATGATCCTTTTGCCAAAATGAAAGAACCACTGTGAGGTACATGTTACAACACAAGAGAGGAGATTATTCGTGCTGTAGGGCGGTCACTGCTGGACATCAACAGCAGTGGACGCGCTGATGGTGTACAACGCCTTCAACAAATTTGGCAGAAGGTGGTACAAATGGGGGGTGATTATACTGAAGGAATGTAAGTGTGTTTACCTCAGGTAATAAGGTCATTTCAGAACTATAGAGGTGTTGCCACTACTTTTTATCAGACCTTTGTATCTACAACCCAAAAGCAGCATACATGTTAAAGGATAGACATACCAAATAAGGAAAGCGAGAATAAGATACAATATTCTGAGAGGAGATGAAATAAAAGGCTGCACACAGAAGTGGAAGGGAAACATATTGCAGAATTAGGTCAAGTGTCCCATTCAAAACAATAGAACAAATATTTCTTCAGCAGTACTTAAATGGAAACATGGGTGAAACATTTCTCAACAGTATGTGTACTTACTAACAAGGAAACCAGATATGGGTGCCAGCAGGGAAGATAAAACAAGTATCTGTCCCTCCTTGTAAAAAAAACTCCTAGACCTTTAAGAAATTAAAAATTGAAGAAAAAAGGAAATATACCAAATATTAGCAATAATAATTAAAATCATATACAAAAAGTGTTCTCCTACCCTTAATACTATTAATACTTTATACTAATATTAGTAAATATTACTATTACATATATATATATTTTTTTTTTTCAAAGGGACCATTTCCACATCCTAGGTTTGTTACCTGTGTGGATATATGGAAAATAAATGAAATGAATGAGTGCAATCAGTAAAAGAGTAGACGATTGCTATGACATAATTTTAAAAGCAAATTCACTTGTTAACCCTTCTTGGAAAACTGGCTTGCCCACGAGACCATACCAACTACAAACAGAAAAAGCAGTATCCACTATGAGGAAAGCATTGAGACTTGTAAAAGATAACAACACAGAAATAATGAACTATTCTGTATCACATTAAAGAAGAGTCTGAAAACTCCCAGAGCTGTCAGACAGTAAAATATGATTATGAATCCAATGAGACATGAAATCAAGAATCACTGTGCCTGAAAGGACCAACAGCAATTTAGTAGTCATTAGAGAAATGGAAATGAAATTGATCACATGGTAAATTATGGAGGAAGTAACATTGGATTTATACTGATATGACACCTGGCAGGAAAGAACATAGCAATGATGAAAAGAAGGTACTATGGTTTTCAGTATTCACAGTCTCACGTCTGGTATATGCATTTAAAAGGTCAAGGGAATGGTCTTTTTTCTTAAGGGCATTGGGAACTTGTTATATCTGCCACTTACAAGCACGAGATAATGTACTCAAGATGCGTGGCCATCTGAAGCATCTGAAGAGAATTCCCCCTACAGAATCAATGATCAATCGTGAATACATGGATCATTGTAAATTAGAGAATGAGAACAAGGTGGGAGCAAGTTAATTACAACTCCATGATTATAGCGCACAACATGGTCATCCACGGATTTCAGCACATGGTATGCAAAATCAGGACATTACATGGATTTCAGCATGAGAAATATAAAGTTAGAAAGTTGCACATCCCAGAAAAACCTTCAAGTGTCGAATTTTCTACAGAAGTGTAAAGAGACTACTCTTTACACTAGACCAAGCTATATAAACGAAGGACATGATTTATTACAGATAACAGTAAAAATGTAATGTTGTACTATTTTGAATTGTTTCATTTTGGTCCGTTACACTATCAGTCACCAACTACCAATAGAACCTCCGTCGAGTGTAACAATATATATTCTTGTCACCATTTCCTCACATTTGCCTTACATGTTTCGGCTCACAAAGAGCCATCATCAGAGGCATCCACAACAAAAATATGGAAACACTTGCACTGCTCAACAATCACAATATACAGTTTTTTATGGAAGATGTTACACGTATCGGAGCGTAAAACACAACAACATCTAGTACCACACAATACACTACGCGTCGGACACAGCCGACCACAAGGTAAGGCCAGCATCAAATATTATTTAATATTCAACGTTAAATATATTATAATAGATAAAACCTAACGTAATACAATATCTTTGCAGCCCACGCAACCTCGTGCTGACGCCTCCCCCATTGGGACTATCCACTAAGAGGAACCTGAATATTTTACTTGGACGGTTTTAACTTTAATTTTAACATTAACGACCCGCTTTGTGGGTGATTTTTTAAATGCAAGTGGGATACCCGCACTCGGGGTACTAGATGTTGTTGTGTTTTACGCTCCGATACGTGTAACATCTTCCATAAAAAACTGTATATTGTGATTGTTGAGCAGTGCAAGTGTTTCCATATTTTTGTTGTGGATGCCTCTGATGATGGCTCTTTGTGAGCCGAAACATGTAAGGCAAATGTGAGGAAATGGTGACAAGAATATATATTGTTACACTCGACGGAGGTTCTATTGGTAGTTGGTAATGTTGTACCCTGCGCTTAGCTAATTAAGCACTATGCCATGAGGATGTATGGGGGAATATGTGTATAGATCAATTTTTCCTTGAATTCAGCACTAGGTGAGTGGTCAGCGTCACGCCCCGACCGCTTTACCACCAGGGAAAGAGCCTCACCCATTGGATTGGAGCCTAGATATGCCCCAGAGCCGGTCTGGACGACGTGGAGAGAAAATTCTTGTACCTACCAGGACTAGAACTCTGACCCCTCGGCCGTCCAGCCCTTAGCCGGTTGCTATACCAACTGCACTAACCCAGCTGCTACAAACAGCAAAGAAATTAATTAAATAACATAATTGAATCTTCCTGGGGGTTAAAGGGAAGCCGACGCGTAAGGCTGACAACCCTTCCGCCATCTGTATGAGCCGACTGTCTAAAGAAAATGTAGACGTCTTGATGGTCTTGATGTCCCACAACCCTATGGGCCTTCACGTCCTGTTATAGGAATACCTGGGTTTTTTTTTTTGTTTTTTGTTTTTTTTTTGCGCGCGCGTCACCGACCACAATTTTATGAGCACTATCTCGTGCGTTGTAATGCCGTAAATTCCGGTCACCGGTCTACACGGCGTTACATGACGTCTCCACGTGTACCACTATGAGGACGATGAGGACTATGAGAACCTCAAATCACACACCGTTAAAGAAGTTACTAATAAGCTGAACCTGAATTGCTGTTGTCTGCGAACGTCTGCCAAGGACAAAATACGGTTGAGTACTTTCGTGTTTAAGACACCGTGATAATGCTGTTAGTAGAGGTCAGTAGTGCTAAGTGCGATAGCATTTAGACAAGCAAAATAGCGAATTACAATTTCTTGTGGAGACGTAGGAACGGTAGGAACAGATACGAAGCGTCCACCTGTCAGCGTGCAGTATGCGTGTTACGTATTTTTATCCTTAATTTTGTTTTCATAGTTATCATAATTTATGTTTTAAAATATATCACGTATTAAGGCGTTGTGTTTGGTCGTGGAAAGTATTGTACCGGTTAAAGGTTACAGGGAATAGAATATATAAATCGGATCCTTTTTTAACATTTGTGAATTTCAAAAAAAAGTATTAACTACATTAAGAAAAGAGTGACATGAGACTGAGGTAAGCTTAAGCAATATTTCATACTTCGAAATCTTGAAAAGATGAGACGAAATAAGTCTTAAGAAAATAATTCATGTAAAGTTTTGTATAGGATTTTGCATAAGGATGTTCAGTGAGATGACAGATACTCGATAACGTAAATTATTGTCAGTGAGTAGTTTTGGTCTGGTTATTAGTGGATTTGCGTATTGATTCCTCTTAGACATGTTTGCAGTGCCATGTTTATTCCTATTGGACATCCTATCAAAAAAAAAAAAGTGGAAAGTAAATTAAGTTGGAATCATGATACTTTCATCTTGTCTGGCAGAAAAGATTGTAGTCTAAGCAGTGTCATAAGTTTTAGCCTACTACTTTCCATATTTTGAAAGAATAAAAGTAGACTTATGAGATCACCATGCTGTCTGTGACCCCCCCCCCATTAACTTTGAATGATTGATTGATTTATTTCGTCACTGTAGATCACTGTACATGATATAGGACAAGTCAAGTTAATTCTGAATATTAACAATTTAATATATGAGTAAGATTAAAATTACAATAGTTACAATTGTTTACAGTTGATTACAATTTAGAATTAGTTAGATATTCTTATTTGTGGAGAATTTGATGGAATGAAGATTGGCAGGGGAAACCGAAGTACTCGGAGGAAACCTGCCCCAGCGCCACTTTGTCCATCACAAATCCCACTTGCCCAGATTGCAGTGGTGGGAAGCCAGCGACTAATCGCTTAAGCTATGGCGTGGCCTTAGAATAATGATATGGATAGCTAGTGTAATGTTCACTGCAGATTTGTGCCCTTCTTGATGGCCTGGTATTCTCGATCTCTCTCTAAGCGGCCTACGTAGACGTCCCTCCATCACATGATGTCCTTTCTATCACATATCCAACATGGTGTCTTGATTCCTTTAAGCAGAAGAGAACTGCGCAGTATACATTCATAGCATGCTGGTATAAGCTCAACAAGTCACTTATTCTTGAATTATCTGGTCATATTGATGTTAACTAGGGTTTATCCCCAAACAAGAAAAACTCATCTATACTATAAAAACAATGTTCAAGTAGAAATGTTTTCAAAGTCTTTTTAAATTTATATAGTGCTGGTATATCTTTTATATATTGTGGCAAGTGGTTTAAAAGACGAAGTTCAATATTATTGAAGTTGTTTTTACACGTACTCATCCTACATGGAACTATGAATAAGTTGTCTTTCTTTCTTGTATTGTGTGAGTGTACTGCTGAATTAGTAATGAAAACATTCAAGTTGGATTTCATGTAAACTAATATTTCATATATATATACAAACATGGTAGAGGTAATATATGTAACAATTGAAAATATTGTTTGCAGCTGGTGGTTTTTTGTATTTGCATTATAGCTCTAATAGCACTGTATTGTATCTTAAAGATCAATTTTGCATTCGCTGAATTGCCCCAGAATATCAATCCATATGATAGCAGGGATTGAAAATACGCATAGTATAAAGCGAGAACTGTCTCTAATCCTGATATTTTTTTGACTATTCGTAAGCCAAAACATATTTTACATAACTTACTTGCTAGTGTTTGAGTAGGTGGACCACCTTAATTTTTTGTCTAACCACATTCCCAAAAATGCTTGGAACTTTGTATGTATATCATGGCACCAGAGCCCATCTCAGCAGCATACTTCATAAATCTCTCCTATCAGTCTGTCCGTATCCTCCTATCTTTGTCAGCCAACAGCTTGGTAAAAACATTACTGCAGCAACATATAAACATGCAACAATAGAATAATTGTTGGATGCGTCATTTTCTGTCACATAAAAGAAAAGTAGGTGATTAGTTCTTCCCAGAACTATTTGTTTTCTTTGTTATTTGCTGTTTCAGTATCAAAACTATATAGCAGATGGTAGGATGACAGGTGCTGATGAATTTTAAAGGATCTGGAAGGAAATTTATGGCTTAATTGAGGTAGTATCCTGGAATTTGACTAGAGGGACTGAGAAAAACCACAGAAGACATTCATGAGGGTAGCAGTGTCTTTGCCTCCCAGATACAAGTCAAGAGCATTACCTCCAGACTAACCTGTTTGTTATGTGAAGTGTGGGGTATTAAATAGATATAATTGGAAACCACAGCTTTGAAGTTGCCTCCCAGATACAAGTCAAGATTACTACCTCCAGACTAACATGTTTGTTATGTGAAGTGTGGGATATTAAATAGATATAATTGGATATATATGATATATATATATAGATATAAATAGATATAATTGGAAACCACAGCTTTGAAGTTGCCTCCCAGATACAAGTCAAGATTACTACCTCCAGACTAACATGTTTGTTATGTGAAGTGTGGGATATTAAATAGATATAATTGGATATATATGATATATATATATAGATATAAATAGATATAATTGGAAACCACAGCTTTGAAGTTGCCTCCCAGATACAAGTCAAGATTACTACCTCCAGACTAACATGTTTGTTATGTGAAGTGTGGGATATTAAATAGATATAATTGGATATATATGATATATATATATAGATATAAATAGATATAATTGGAAACCACAGCTTTGAAGTTGCCTCCCAGATACAAGTCAAGATTACTACCTCCAGACTAACATGTTTGTTATGTGAAGTGTGGGATATTAAATAGATATAATTGGATATATATGATATATATATATAGATATAAATAGATATAATTGGAAACCACAGCTTTGAAGTTGCCTCCCAGATACAAGTCAAGATTACTACCTCCAGACTAACATGTTTGTTATGTGAAGTGTGGGATATTAAATAGATATAATTGGATATATATGATATATATATATAGATATAAATAGATATAATTGGAAACCACAGCTTTGAAGTTGCCTCCCAGATACAAGTCAAGATTACTACCTCCAGACTAACATGTTTGTTATGTGAAGTGTGGGATATTAAATAGATATAATTGGATATATATGATATATATATATAGATATATATAGATATAATTAGAAACCACAGCTTTGAAGTTGCCTCCCAGATACAAGTCAAGATTACTACCTCCAGACTAACATGTTTGTTATGTGAAGTGTGGGATATTAAATAGATATAATTGGATATATATGATATATAGATGATATAAGAAAGTGTTTTGTAACTGTTTAATGTGGGAGTTATATTTACTTCTTATGCATCTGGCTTTGCATTCCAGCCTTGATATGAGCCGCATATGGACTCCTGTACAAGCCACTCCTCATCCTTCAAATGTGAGTGGACTGTCTTTCATCGGAGAGCAAGTGCTACAAGTGTTACAAAAGAAATGGCAAGATAGTTACAGCTCCCTGACCAATGTGACCACCACACCAGCCCACTACATTCTTAGTACTAGAGAAGGTAATTCAAGTGTCATTAATGATATTCGTTATTTATAAATATTAAGAAGTAGATTGTGACACAGGGCAGGAGGCTATTGATTCGTAACAGGAAAAGAAACTGTAATAATTTTCTTAAGCTTTATCCAATTTTAAAAATATGCTAAAAATACCTTCCATATTTTCATGTAGTATGTGTGACTTAGACAGGGTTTGGATTGGTGAATATGTTTGTTGACCACTTATACACAGGATTCAGATCTAGAAGCATATACAGTGCCACTTCTAATCTCCACAATTAACAGATCACCACAGGACTTGCTAAGCCTTCTTCAGCAGCCATTCCATGGCAACAGCTTCATGCACTTAAGTTCTTTTTTCACAGACTCCCTTACAGAACTCATGGAACTGGCAACTAACCAAGCCCTAGCCTTGTTCCCTGCTTATAATATCTTGGCACAGACCACATAGAGAACACGGCTCTTCTATTTTTGTGTTCGTGTCTGTTGCTGTAGGAACTTGTTTACCAAGCTCTTGGCCGAAAATGGCTCTGGTGTATCCACCCATCTTGCACTCATTGCATAACAGTGGCTCCTACATGCTACAGTATGATTGGATCATATCATCTGGGATTGAGCTTATAATGGCTGAATCTGCAACAATATAAAAAAATGAATAACCTAGAGAAACAATAAACATTTCCTGTAGATATGTAAAAGTATACTTTAACCAGAAGTGGGTTGAAATAAAAATTAGGATGTTATCACTGCTATGAACTTCACACAAAATTTTATCCAATACTCTTCTCTCAAGGTTAAGTCCATACATTGATGAAATTATTGGGGATCATCAGTGTGGGTTTCGACATAATAGATCAACTACAGATCAGAATTTGCATTCGTCAGATATTGGAGAAAATATGGGAGTACACTAAGACAGTACATCAGCTATTCGTAGACTTCAAGAAAGCCTATGATTCAGTTAGGAGGGAAGTATTGTACAATATTCTGATAGAGTTTGAGATATCCGTGGGACTAGTTAAGCTGATGAAAATGTGTTTAAATGAAACTTATAGTAAAGTCCATATAGGTAAATATTTGTCTGATAAATTTCCTATCCAGAATGGTCTTAAGAAAAGGAGATGCTTTATCGCCACTCCTTTTCAATTTTGCTTCAGAATATGCCATTAGGAAGGTCCAGGAAAACCAGGTGGGAGTGAAATTAAACAGGACACATCAGCTGTCTGTCTGTGCCGATGATGTGAATCTGGTGGGTGATAATATAGATACCATAAAGAAAAAAACACAAACTTTAATTGACGCAAGTAATGAAGTTGGTCTAGAAGTAAACACAGAGAGAACTAAGTATATGTTGAGGCACAGTAGATCACTGTGGTCACGGTGCAAGGGCCAAGAAGGCCCACCTCATATACATTCATTCATTCAAGTATATGTTGCTCTTTTGTCACCAAAATGCAGGGCAAAATCGTGACATAAAGACAGAAAACAGATGTTTTGACAATGTGGCACAGTTCAGATATTTGGGAACAACGATAACAGATCGAAACCTGATTCAGGAGGAAATTAAGAAGAGACTGAACTCGGGTAATGCTTGCTACCATTCAGTCCAGAACATTTTGTCTTTTCATCTGCTGTCCAAAAACATAAAAATTAAAATATACAGAACTCTAATATTTCCTGTGGTTCTGTATTGGTGTGAAACTTGGTCTCTGACATGAAGGGAGGAACATAGACTGAAGGCATTTGACAAGAGGATGTTGAGGAGGATATTTGGACTGAAGAAGGGTGAAGTGACAGGAGGTCGGAGAAAACTGCATAATGAGGAGCTTCATAACTTGTACTCTTCTCCAAGTATAATTAGAATTATTTGAATTATATTCAATACTATTACTTTCATATCATTTTCAGATTAACATTAATATTACTACATCTACATCATGAGCCTCCTATACATGTTTTATATATACACACAATATAGAATATTCCAATTTGTCCTTGGGAACGTAACAAAATTACAAAAACCAACGACTGACTCGATGATGTAAAACATCAATCAAAGAATTTTATTCTTGTTTTATACTATAACTTTTGTTTTATAATCTAATTTATTGTATTTTTACATCAAGTATTTTATATAATTAGTAATATTGTATCCAATTTTACTAGTACTGCGGTTCAGTGGTGTATATGTGTTAGCCATGTATTTGCCTGATGATGGCTATTAATAGCCGAAACATGTAACAGAGCCAAAACTAGGCACTGATCTTGATATTAGTTGTGTTGTGATGGTTGTAATAAAGAAGTTGTATAATTGGAATGATCAAGTCAAAGCGGATGAGGTTGGCAGAGCATGTAGCATGAATGGATGGGAAAAGTCATGCATAGAGGATATTGGTGGGAAAGCCAGAAAGAAAGAGACCACTGAGAAGACCAAAGAGTAGGTGGGTGGAAAGTATTAAAATGGATCTTAGGGAGATAAGATGGAATGGTGTGAATTGGATTGATCTGGCTGAGGATAGGGACCAGTGGAGGGCTCTTGTGAATATGGTAATGAACCTTCAGGTTCCATAAAATGCTGGGAAGTTCTTGAGTAGCTGCAGATTTGGCTTCTCCTCAAGAAGGACTCAGATCAATAAGTAAGTAAGTATGCCACTATTAATATAAAGTTATTCAGCATATCTTTCCAAAATCATTGGTTCAACAAATGTCAGACATCACATTTGAATGGTTAGCAGTCTGGCTGTGTATTTGGCAGGTCTTTGCAAACAAGCATCATGGATAAACAGAATGCACATTTTTGCATGTACTGTTCTATTTTTGTGGCTACTCAATATTTCCGATTCTCTAGACTAGTTTTACTTATGAAGTCAGCCTAAGCAAGAATATTTTAATTTGTTCATCATGCAGTATTTACAGCAGATGAAATGAGCTGCTAGGGATATATCACATAAACACTGTAAAAAAAAGTAAAAGTAACTAAAGCTATCCCTCTAACAGGCCATGAAAGCCCATAGGGTTGTGAGACGTTGTGGGTCCCACATTATCTAGACAATCGGCTCACAGATGGCAGTAAGGTTGTTAGCCTTATGTTCCGGCCGCACTCTACTCCCCAGGAAAATTATTTAATTAATTCCTGGTACTCATTTCTGTTAGAGGCTGAGTCGACCCCAGGGCCATAGTGCGGCTGGAAGGATTAGGTCAATTGAAAAAAATCCTGTGACCTCATCGGGTCTTGAACCCGTGACCTTCTGGCTTGTAGCATAGTGCCTCAACCAACTACGCTCCCGCGTTCCCCCATATAAACAGTGTTTGTATAAACCAGGTGCATGTGTTTATGTGAAATATAACCTTGTGTGAACATATTTTTAAATGACTAGCAAAAGAACACCCTCAGTATAACATGGTAATCTGATATGCATCATGAGATGCATCTCAAAACACTTAAAAATAGGACCTCTGTTTCAAATAGGCACTGAGCAACAAGTTGTTTTGTACTTTGACATTTCAAAAATTGATTCTAAAGGGTTCTCATGATGTTGTATGACACTTGGGATTACTGAATTTTTGTGCTTCTTCCATTGTCCGGTATTCTAAGGAACATAACTTTTTACAAATTGAATCAGTTTCCATCTCAGGTGAGGGATGGGATACACCTACTCTGTTGGGTCCAATAGAAAGAGCTAGCCTCAGTCACTGGATTGAGGTAATTGATGTTAGCTCTTTCAGACAAACCAAACAGAGTAGTTCTCTCCCAGCCCTCACATGAGGATGGAAACAGGTGCAGTTTCCAAATGTGTTCTTTAGAATACCAGATGATGGATGAAGTCCAAGAACCTAGTAATCCCGATTTCTAAAATTGTTAATTTGGAAGTGAGCTGTTGACTATAAATCTTTGAAAATGTCCTGTCAGGATGATGCCCTTGTGTTTTGATCAGTGGACAGCCTGTGTATGGAAGGTGTTTATTAACATCTATCAGCAACCAACGTGTTAATTTTGTGAAGCAGAATCTTTTTTAAAAAGCCAATAGCTATTTAGCTGCTCAGTAATTCTCCACCTTCATTAGAACCTGAAAATTCATTACCATGCTCACCAGAGCCCACAACTGAATCCTATCCTCAGTCAGATGAATCCAATCATCCTCCCGCCCTATTTCTTTAAAATATACGTGTATTTTAATAATACCCTCCCATCAATGCCTAGGTTTCCAAACTGGCCTCTTCCCTTCAGGCTTTCTGACTAGAATTTTGCATATAATTTGTAATTCCCTATGCCTGATGCATAAATTGCTCATCTCATTCTCCTTGATTTGATCACCCCAATGATAGTTGGTGAAGAATTCAATTATGAAGCTCCAGCTTCCCATTCCTCCTGTCTCTTAGGCTCCTCAGCACCCTCTTTTCAGACACCCTCAGTCTTTTATCTTCACTTAGAATAAAAGACGTAGTCCTCCCACCCCAAATAGAGATCAGCAAGTAAAATTTTAGTTTTAGTGTAATCTGTATTTGTGAAGACAGAAGGTAGGAATGCAGAGGCTCCTGAACTGAAAACACTGATCACTATGTCTAACGGTCAGACCTAGCCTCTGCTGTGAGAATCTCAGATTCTAAACAGTATTTCTCTGAGAAAGCTATTCATTGCTCCGACCACTGTGAGAACCACAGATCTTTTGTAGTCAGACCTACCAGTTGTCAGTATTATGTAAAATTAACAGGTGGATATCACCTAACGTTGCTTACTCAGTAACAGTTGTGTTTGAGATTTGAGGTTCTAACTACTCAATGACATTCTTCTGGGATGTGGCACCATGTAGTTTAATACATATATGCCTTTCCCTGGAGATGAAGGCTGTAGGCTACTCCAAAATATTGGTGCCACGCTATGTGGCATCACATCCCAAAGGAACATAATAATCTCAGCAGTTATTGCATTTGTATTGACTGTTGGTATTGTGTTGATTCTGGCTGCATGCACACAACAGAAAATGACAATGCACTACACAATTGGGTACTGGACCTACAACCAAAGAGACATAAATAAAAGTAATAGACGTACACAGTAACATCAACAAACTACATGAAAGACACCCACGCCTCCTGAAGATAATGCTAATAGATCACACAAGGAGATTGAAACCATTTTTACTAAATTTAGTAGGGTGACATATTTTAATATGAATTTTAATTGCATTTTTAATTTTCATTTTGAAATTGAGACAAGCAGTGCAGCAAACAGTTTGACATAACAAGGACACCTGATGATGGCCATATACGGTCGAAACATGACATGAATAAAGATTAAAGTGACTGTAACAATCTTGTGTTGCATTGTGATGGAAATATACATTGATGAAATAATCAGCAGTTATGTTTACTTCTCTGTTTTGAAATAGGTGGTGCTTTTGAGGAACCCACTCCAGCATGCAGGATTCCAGTTGTGTCAGAGCCTATCACAGATCTGTGTACATTGAGGTATAGTGACAAGTAAATACATGTCAAATTGTCTGTATGATTAAGCACCACAACATCAAAGAATTTAATGAAACTGGAGGTAAAGCTCTGTATTTTCTAGAGCACTGCAGTGGGTAGAGGTGAATGAACAACTTCACACTCTGACTGTTTCACTCCCAAGGGCATGTCCAATACTCTGGGCATAAGAGACAGACATGAATGATTTGGATGTGGTGGCAAATAGAAAAATTCTGTCCCTACCACATTGATGATAAGCTTAAGAATGCCTGAAGCTTTTCCTCTTTGTACATACTCTTTGCATTTTCAAAGAATAATTATCCACTTATATTTAAGCATCCTGTTGCACTCTATACGATATATGATATAAACTCCATCTTAAGTGCAACAATTTATTGTAGGTCTTTCGTCTTGCTTTCTTCTACACTACATGTTTCGGCCGCAAATGGCCATCATCAGGTGTATACACTCACGTAGCTGTTACACTGCACTTAGTTTAAAATTTAAAAACACAGATCTTCCCAGTTGTTCCCTTTGTCGTTGCTAACAGAATCTACTTTGCTGATATCTGTCTGATTCGAACATTATCTTTGTTACCTACACACGTCAATTTTGACTTTCATGAACTGGCACTTTTAAAATCTGAAGATCACAATCAGACAAATATTAGCGAAGTAGATTCTGTTAGCAACGACGAAGGGAACAATTGGGAAGACCTGTGTTTTTAAATTTTAAACTAAGTGCAGTGTAACAGCTACGTGAGTGTATACACCTGTTGATGGTCGTTTGCAGCTGAAACATGTAGTGTAGAAGAAAGCAAGATGAAAGACCTACAATAAATTGTTTCACTTAGGACGAAGTTTATATCATATATCATATAGTGAACATCTTTAGTCTCATTGAAAATGATAGCTTTCTTTGATGATTTCAAGGGCAACTAACCCAGCATCTACAGAGTGGAGAACTAATACTGTACCTCAGAGTCTGCAAGTAAATAGCAAACTACCTATCTCTAATATGGATATAAGCTCAGCATTGAATGTGGAAAAGGTGACAGATAATAACACACTTCTGCATCTACCATCTCATCATCCTAATAGAGCAACTGGAGCACTGACAATACCCATATCTAATTCCAAACTTGAAATAAATTATTTGCATTCTACAACAAACCACAGAGGTCAACAGAACCTTTTTTATCCATCTGATATTAAATCTAATGGAAATAAGTTGCAGACATTTGTATCATCTTCAGAACTTAACAAGCTAGAGAATTCATGTCAAAAGAAAAACTACATCCAAAATGCATTTCCTAATAATGTTGATCAAGAACACGCAAATGAGGATACAAGAATTTGCAGAATATACTCACTGAAAGAGAATGACAGGCCTACAAAAATCATTTCAGATGTTTTTCAAACTGATAAGCCTACAACAGGTTCATTTGAGGACATGTTAGAAAAACTAAATCAAGCATATGAACTTACTCATAAAACCTTTATAAATTTACCTTCGCAGCATACAATTGTACAGAAGTCTCCTCTGCAAGGCTGTCACACTGCCAGAGATACAGCATTGAGGAATGAGGAAGAGCGACTATTACTTTCATGTGATATGTTTGATGCAGGTGGCGACAGTATATTGGATGGAGCTGCATCTGATAAACTAGAAAATAAAGGTAGTCAAGATGCAGTACTCAATAAAGTAGTTACTCAAGATCCCAATTATTTTATGCCATTACAGGATGGTAGCAGTTTTATGGAAGGTGATTGCTACAAAGGTGATGAGTTATGTGAAAAATACCCTAGTCAGAAAAATTATAGCAGCATTCAGCCATTTGTGGCAGTCACAGTAACAGATGAAGATCGGGGGTCATGTGTCTCACAAGAGAATTTGAACTGTAATGAGGATATAAGAACTGGAAATATAGAAATGGCCATTCCTGAAGATGAGAACTGGAAAAGAAGCAACAAAGATATAAATGCTTTAGCAGATTGGCTTTTACATGAAGCAGAATTTCAAAGTAATTCTTCCACAACTTCAGGAAAGATTCATCACAAATCACATAAAACTATCCAACTAAAATCACATGTGTCATCTGAAGAATTAACTACAAAGACTTCAGATCACTCACATTACAAAGAGGCCCCGTCAAGTAAAGCCATTTGTATCAAAGAAAAGGAACATAACACATTTGTTAAAGGCAGGTATTACATGTCCATGAAAGGAAAGCTGGAAGTACCAGGAGTGTTTCAGAAAAGAGGAAGAACAAAAGTTAAATTGTGTTCTAATCAACAAATAACTTACTCTGAAGTGAACTTAAAAGGGTCAGAGACAGTAGTATCAAGTATGAATACTGAAGATGTGACTGGTGGTACCTTTGCTTCAAGTGGCAAGAATAAAAGGAAAACAATGTTTCAGACCCCATTCAAGAAAATATCTTCCCAAGCAAAGCAGGTACTCAAATTAACACTTTTTTTTTACATTAGCACATTTATTATCAGTGTTCTCACAGTTCCAACTTATGACAACACTTTGTGTAATTATGTAAAAAATTTTCTTCTTAACAGCATATCTCTTCCTATTGCCATGGAAGGTTCACGTAACGTAGAAAAGTTCTGGGGGTATTAATATCTGTTAATTTAGGACACACAGTCAACATATATGTTGTTTTCAGTTTTGTTTGGCCATGGCCATTTGGCCTGAAGGTTTAAACTGTCATTTCAACACCCAGTATGAATATATTGTCAGATACTAGAGTGACTTTGTATTAGGTTTTGGAATGGAGGTTGGATTTATTGACCACTTACAGGTCATAACTACAAATAACCATTTGCAGATTTTGCAGTTCACTAGTGCACACAGTCAGGTGTTCTCAGCCTGTTACTAGGCATTTCCTGGTAATGCCTCCAGCAATGGTTATACCTCTGCCTCAAGTCCTCTGTTCACAGACTCCTGTACAGAAATGATGAAGCTCTAGCTTTGTCCCTTGCTTATAACATCTTGGCACAGACCACATAGAAAACACAACTCTTCTATTGCTTTATTTGTGGCTGTTGCTGTGGGAATGTGTTTACTGCACCATTGCCCAGAAACGGCCCTGGTATATCTGCCCATCTCATAGCTCTACATGATACAATATTAACATATTTGCTTCTAATTGCAAACACACATCACCTCTCAGAATGCCCGTAAGAGATCTGATGCATATTTATGAATTTGAACAACTTTTATGAGGCATGCAGTAGTGTAGTTGGTTGGTTGAGGCACTATGGTACAAGCTGGAAGGTCAAGGGTTCAATTCCCAATGAGGTCACCGAATTTTTCAATTGACCTAGTCCTTCCAGCCACCCTATGGCCCTGGAGTTGACTCAGCCCCTAACAGAAATGAGTACCAGGAATCATCCTGGGGGAAAATGGCGGCTGGTGCATAAGACTGACAACCTTATTGCCAACAGTTAGCTGATTGTCTGGAGAAAATGTGGGAACCTTGATGTCTCACAACTCTATGGGCCTTCATGGTCTCTTACAGGGATAGCTTTACCTTTTATTTTATTTTTTTTTAACCTTTTTGAATGACTTTCGTATTGTATTAGTTTAGTCTTTCTTTATTCCATGACATTTTCCGTTGCTGAGATTATATAACATTGAGCAATAGGATGATTAGTAAGTAATCAAGATCTGAAAGGAAATAATCATGGCCTAATGTTAGGTACTGAACCAGAATATGTTTGGAGGGTCCAACACAAAGCATGAAAAGCTGTCTGGTTAGCCATTTTCCAGACCGTGATGTAACCTTGGACCTTGCACCCATGAAGCAGAGATTATAAGCAGAATTTGTTAGTGATGGAAGTCATATGTAATAGTAAAAGTTGTTGATATGGTAGTGTATTGATTGTGCATGCCCAAGCAGATGATAAGATTCAGGTGACATCTTTTTTGAGAACTTATAACATGTGTTTGGTCAATTCTCTGAGCACTTTATGGAAATTTTTTTCAGAGTTTTTATTGAAAGAATAGGGAGGCAAGATGTTTTGAATTGACAGTTTGGAATGAGAGTTTACATGTAATTATTAATGACAATTGGATTGGATTAGTAAACATCAACATTTCTATTGAAAGTACAGTCTTCCCACATCATTACATACATTCATGAATACACTTGGAGTTCTGAAGGAAAGACTCATAACCATGTCTTCACAGACAGGAGGCAGTATTCGGATACATTTTATGTCCAGTCTTCTAAAGGAGAAGACTACGATGGAATTATGTATTGATTGTAAAAGGATAATGGATGTTAAAGGAATAGTTTGAGGGGTTGTGGACTGCCTTCATTAGGCTGAGTCAGAGACACGTGCCAGGATCTTGTGAATCCAGTTATGAAACTTGGATTCCATAAAAGGCTCGAAATTTCATGAATGTCTGAGCAATTATTAGTTTCTCAAGAAGGGCTCTTCATCATGGAGTTAGGTTCAGTTAGTTATGTAAAATATGATCATTATGTACTCTCTTTCTTTATTCTTTTTAACTAGCTTGAAAGAGGAAAGTTGTTATTGTGATTTCTGCTCACAATACCTCAGGTAACATTTTTCATTATTATGTGGAACGTTTCTGCAGTGCAGAAAACAGTGGGTCATGGATGCAACAGTGCAGAAGGGACACCGTACATTATGGATGATAAATATGAAGAGTGATGTAACACTGAATTTTTCAGAAGATTCAGTATCAAAATAATTACAAGAAATTAATTAAATATATATGAATTTAAAATAAAAATGCCCTTCAAAATTCCCTCTAGTATAGTGAATAGTGGCTAATAACACACACCTCTGATATTTTTCTTCTTTAACACATTGCGGACCGGACGGGCCATATGGCACTCTACGTTTCCAAGCATTGCGGACCAGGTGGGCCATATGGCCCTCTACGGTCACGTTATGTTACAAAATGCTATATATCGCTGTGTGGCTTCATTAAATCGTAACTACTGCGTAGATGACCTCGGGAATGATTGCTGCCTTATCTAGTAACTCGACCAGAGTCATTTCCTGTCACAACCTAAACAAAATTGGCTTTGTTCTAATCCAAGCTTGCACGTATCAACCACGCAGCTACAGTTCAACATGGCTCAGAGACGAAAGCAGTTGCGATCTCTCGGAGGACAGGAAATATTAGATACGTTCTCCGATGAGCTATCAGATTTGCCAACTGCTTCGTCTTCTGATAGCGAGGCCATTATCAGTGACAGTGACAGTGACAATGACGGGGGCCACAAGGCTGTCCAAAATGTGTCAAGTGAAAGTGAGAGCTCCGTTGAAAGTGCAAGTGTCAGGACAGAAATACCTACTGTCAAGGAAAGTACGTATATGTGGTACAATTAGGGTGAACAGAGGCCTCCCTCCAGATCTGAAAGAGGAATGTAAACGCCTGAAATGTGGCGACACCGCACTCAGAAGGAAGGAGGACATTCTTCTGCAGTCCTGGAGGGATACTCGCGTTGTGAATATGGTTTCCACTATTCACAATTCGAGCATGGTCGATGTTCAAAGACGACACGGGCAAGTAAAGAAGCCTCTTTGTATTTCCAAGTATAATATGTTCATGAAAGGAGTTGATAGAGCCAACCAGTTCTTGGCCTATTATTCCCTACCTAGGAAAACAGTAAAATGGACGAAGAAAGTTGCACTGTGGCTTATAAACTGTGCAATTTTCAATTCATTTATGGTTTTAAAAAAAGTGAACAGAAATTCTACTTTGAAATACAAAACATTTCTGTTGAAACTGGCAAAAGCTTGGGCTACTGAC